GGGGATTAGGCCCCAGAGTGGTAGAGACCCTGTCACCTGCTCAGGATGTGGGCAGTGGTGTATGGGCCTGAGGCAGCAGCTGCCCCTGCCCAGCCACAGGGCCTCTAAGGGCTCTGCTGAACCCCAGTGAGCAATGAGTGACTCAAAGGGTGACCCCTCGAGTCAGCAAAGCTTTTCCTGGCCTCCAGATGTCTGACAGCCCCGTGGGACTGGGCCTCAGTTTTCCTGCCCTACCAGTGTGCCTCGGGGTGGGGATGCCCCTGGGGATGCAGAGCGCATTTGCTGACCTGGGATTGATACACCTTCCGTCCATCTGCAGCCCGTCTCGGAGAGCCCTGGCCGAGTGCCATGGCCCAGGTCCTCTTCAGTCTTCCCAACGACTGCTGGCTCACCGCTGACCGCACAGGAAGGCCACCGCCACACCCTTCGTACTGACTGCCCCTCAGGAAGCTGGGGGGAAGTTCTGGAGGGCTGTTGCTGGGGACAGCAGAGACTGGGGTCTGTTCCCCCTCCCCCATCGTGGGCAGTGGATACAACCTCCTGTTAACTTTGCAATCCTGTGCTAGGCCCCTTTCCTGGCCAAGGGAGGGTGAGGCCAGGCCATGGGCCCTGCACAGACCTCGCCGTGCACTTTACGTTTAGACTACTGGTTCTCACCGACTTTTCTTTACTTTGCTACATGTTAGCACCTCCCATACCTAGTCATGTGTTCAAACAAACTGCAGCCCATCAGGGGTGAACGGGCCTGCCCACCGAGACGCATGCCCAGTGCCCGTGGGAGCCAGGTGGCTGCCTTTTGGTTGTTTGGTTGGTTCCTTTTTTTTTTTCTTTTTTTTTTAAGAAAAAATAAAACAGGTCAATTTGAGCTGTGGTTGTGAGGGGTGTTTGGGAATTGTCGGGTGGCAGGACGTGCTATCAGGTGGGTTATCTGAGTCTGTACCTGGGGCCCCCTATGGACCCTAGAGTGCATGGGCTGGCCTCCGTCTTCAGGTCTTGCTGACAGCCTGGGGGCCTGCCTTTGGCCACACTGGCCCTCTATGCTCTCCAAAGCTCAACACACCCTTTGGCTTAGCTCCTGGGCCTACAGCTCCACAGTGCAGGGCCAAGTGTGACTGCAGGACCCTGACCCTTTCCCCCAACGCCTCTGAACCTAGATTCCCAGAGAAAACCCAGAGCAAGCAAGAGTATGCAGTAAATATTTATAATCAACCATTAAAACAACAAGAAATTCCATCACTGTATGGTACACAGACTGCAGGAAGCTTTGAGGGATGGGGCGGGGTGGCTCAGCTGCCCCATCTTTTGGCAATAAATAAAGCTTGGGAAACTTGAAATCTTGGCCGATTGGGTTTTGTGTAAGTCTCAAAACACTAATGAGTCTTGGGGCTCTTTGGATGTGTGGCTGTGGGGCTGGCAGGCCACTCACATGGGGAGGGCAGTTGCAGACCCCAGAGGAGGGCAGAGAGAGGAGTCTTCCAGGGCTGGGGCAGCAGCAGCGGTGGGCGTGGTTATTGCTTGGAGGAGGCTTGGACTGCAGTGAACTCGGAACACACGCCCCAGTGAGGTAACGGCTTTGGGGAATTGGCAGCCATGCCAGTGCACTCTTCACCCATCCTCAGCAACCTGAAGTCCATGTTCCAGCGGGCTTGACGCATGCGCCCTGGCATGGACTCTGCAACTGCACACCAAATATGCCTAGAAGCTCAGTTGGCCCTGGGAGGGGCGCTCTGCACATGCGCCTTACACAGTCCAGCTGCACTGTCCCTCTTGGATGCAGGTAAGACCTATCCTTCCAACGAAAGCCCTACCACCATCCAGAGGCTATACTGGGGTAAGGACGTGTGAATGTTCCTCAGGAGCACAGATTAGAATACACCTGGCTCCCTCCAGATAAGCCAGGGTGCTTGTGCCTTGGTATGACTCGGGAACCAGCTTAGTGACTGGAGAGAGCTGTGCACAGGCGCACTGCGGCAGCGTGGAGCCACGGGCAGTACGCTTGTGCCTTAGAACCCGTGGTCTCAGCGCACACGCATCAGGTCCTCACGCCACTGGTAGGACTGGCTGTAGAGGCCTTGTGCACGCAACAGGAAATGGAGAATGGGGCAAGGGGCTTAGGCTGGACTATGGTCCGGGGACGTGGGTGCTGCGGTGGCAGTGGCCAGCGTGGGGGCTGCGGCAATGGGCTGGGTGAGGTGTGGCAATAAGAGTCTGTCCTCGAGGCCAGTTGCCAGCTTGTCCAGCAGTGCCCCTGAGGGTCGGGCACACAGGCCTGATCCTGGGCACCCGCCGCCAGGCTCCTCTTCGATGGCAGGGATGGTGGGCGCTGGAGGGCCGGCTGGGTCTTCACCTGTACGGCTGTCGGTTGGGCAGTCGACGCTGTCCCCACGGCGCAGAGGCGCGCGCGCGGGGCGGGGTTCCGGCCCAGGCGGTGCAGAAGGCGCAGTGCGCTCGCCGCCGGGGTCACTGTGCTGCCGGCCGCGCTGCTGCCACTGCTTGCGCATGTGGGTGTGTGGGTGCGCACGAGCTCGATGGCGTGCAGTGCTGGGCGGGGCGTCGTCAAAGTGTGGGTCGTGGCGCAGGAACTCATGGAAGAGCGCATCAGTCTTCTCATCCACACTGTAGTCCCGTCGTGGTGTGCGGCGGGGCCAGGCGCGCGGGCTGCGCGGCCAGGGGAACTCCTCCGCTGGTGTCCCATCAAAGCTGCCCCCCACGGTGGTTGTGTGGCCCACACTAGAGAAGGAGGCGTGCTTCTCGGGCCCACCGGGAGGCCCATCGTCGCCCGTGCTGCGCCCCTCGATGCTGGCATAGCCACTGTCCATCTGCAGCAGCTTGCGCGGCCCTCCCACCTCACTGTCCGAGGGCCGCAGCGTGGGTGGCGGTGAGGGCGGTGGGAAGGCGGGCGCTGTGCCCCCTGAGCCAGAGCTGTCGCCGCTGCGCACCGAGTCGCGGTCATTGCTGCTGTGGTCTGAGGCGGTGGCCGCGTGCAGCTCAAGTGAGGCACGGAGGCTCCAGATGTCGCGGTAGATGGTCTGGGTGTGCTCCAGCCCCGCATCCCGCTCACTGTCTGACTCCTGCTGCTGGTCAGGCCCCGCACCACCTATGCTGCGCTCCCAGGGGGGCTCGGGGTTCACTCCTCCCGCGGCGCCTGCCTCCTCCTCCTCCACCTCTAGCCTGCAAGCCAGGCGCAACAGTCAGAGGGCTCCCCCATGCCCTCCCCGGCCACCCTGTTCGGTCAGGGAGGGTGGGCACGGACGGGGCCTCTCCACCTTGGCCAGGCTCTGTAGAAGGTGAGTTTTTTAAAATGCTGTCTCTTTTGCACGGGGATGCTTTTTTGATAAACCCTGAGCTCTCCTGGAGCCTGCTTGTCAAGCAGGGTGTCTTATACAATGTGACCTAAACACCTGTGGGCACTGCAGGTGGTTGGCTCCTCACCCAGAGTGGTGCTTTCCTACAAGCCACCTTCTTCCTAACATCTCAATTCCGGGGCAGTGGGGCGGGACGAAGCAGGTGGAGGTCCCCTACCTCTGGGTGACTGAATATGCCACTTAGCACCCTCCCACAATCTTGGGTTGATAAGAAATGGAGGACGATACACAATCAGAAGGGATCGCTAGGAAGTATAGGAACCCTACCCTGCTCCCTGGATTTCCACATGTCACTGACATGGGCCCAGAGCTCCAGGATAGCTGCCCTTGGGCTGTGCGTGGAGGTGGGGTCCTGCTGGAAGATGTGGTCAGGACAGTTTTTGAGGAGGAACCTGAGCAGGTGGGAGGGGGCCCCTCAGACCGAGAACTCCACCGGGGACTCCCAGAAGCCCTGCCTGAGCAGGCATTTAGTCCTGGGGACCCTCCCCTGGGCCCTTACCCAGTCTCCCCCTGCTCCCCTCCTCCAGCCCACAGTCCCTGCTGGAGCGGGGGCCCTAGCGGGGCAGCCTCCAGGAGGAGCAGTGGCACCACAGGGAACTGACTGCCCGTCTGCCCTGCGGACAGGGTGGGGAATGCACTCCCTTGGCTACCTATGGGTGACTGGGTAGGGCAGGGGCCCACAGGCGCACCCCTAGCACCTTTATCTACGGAAGAATACCTGCCGAGAGCGGGGGACGGGCTGGTGGGGCTGGCCAGAAAGGGGCAGGGGGGCGGGAAGGCCAGAGCAGCGCCTGTGCTGGCAATGTACTGGATGAAGTCCGTGTGAGGGGTGTCCCCCTCCTCCTGCTCCATGCTCTCGCTGGCTGCTCGCTGTCGCTGGAAGTGATGCCGCTTGGGGGAGCCTGTGCAGAGGGAGGCACATCAGCCTGCCTGGGCCCCTCCCAGCGTGGCACCCCACCCCCACCCCCAGGCCTGACGGCAGGAGCCTGGACCAGGTAAGCATGCACCGTGCTGTGCAGGTGTGAGTTTTGTCAAGGCAGCAGCAGTTCCCTGAGCATCCAGGGAAGACAGGTGTGGCTACAGCGGGGATTTTAACTGGTCACCTAGTGGCAGGCACAGCTGGGCCAAACCACAGATGTGGGAAGGAGTGGATTGTAAAGCACATGTTGGGGGGATGAGGGAAGAGGTGAAGCCCTCTCCTGCCAGCCTCACCCCTGCCCACGGGCCACCCTCCCATAGAGGCCTGGGAGAAGCTTCAGCGGCAAAGTCACAGGGGTGGGGAGGATAGTCGCCTAGCAAATAGGTAGGTTCTGGGTGGTTCTGCACCTGAATTTGACTATCGTCACCCTCAGGAATCACAGAATGCCTCTGGGCTCCCAACAGGGTGCAAGATAGGCCCACCCTCCCTGGCCAGGAGCACCTAGGCCACGACTCACCCTCCCGTCTCTGATGTTGGCTGGAGCCAGGCCCCAACAAGGAGGCTGGCACTGTCACTAGCCTCGTACCTTCTCTCTCTCTCTGTTTGTCCCCTCTCCCACCTCCTCCACCGGGCGGCAAGCACATGCATGGCCTGGCCCGGCCCACTAAGTTCCTCTGTGCAGGGCTGGTTACAGCTGTCCGTGCCCACCTTCCCATGCCCCGTACAACCCTGCCTTGGACTGAAGGTAAAGAAGCCCTATGTCCAGGACCCCACATGCCTCTGGGTCTGCAGGATTAAAGGGGTGGCCAATTGGGCCCCCCACCTGTTGTAAATGAGTTTTGGGGTTTTTTTGTTAATCCTCACCTGAGGATATATTTTCCATTGATATTTTAGAGAAAGGGAGGGAGGGAGGGGTAGAGAGAGAGACACACACACACACACACACACACACACATCAATGTGAGAAAGACACATCGATTTGGTTGCCTCCTGCAAGTGCCCCAACCAGGGCCAGGGAACAAACCTGCAACCCAGGTGCATGCCCTTGACAGGGAGTCGAGCCCACAACCCTTCGGTCTCAGGCTGGCGCTCTAACCACTGAGAAACACCAGCCAGGGCTGTATATAAGTTTTATTGGCACACAGCCACACTTGTTTCCACGCCATTTACTGCTGCTTGCCCACCACCACTGTAGACAGACTGACTGCAAAACCAAAAACACTACCACCTGGGGCCCCAGAGAAGCTCAGTGCATGGCCCCGGGCCCCTCCTGACCAACTCTGAGACCTTGGACAGAGCATGTATTGGCCAGCATGGGGCAGGAAATGGAGACCCCTCTCAGGAGCAGAGTCCCACCCTGGGTTCTGAGCCTCCCACACTCTATGGCTGCCTGGGGCAGGGCCCCTGGCCCTTACTCCCCACCAGGGGCCGCAGCTCACCTCTTGTGTCCAGACTTGATGCCCGCTGGCTGGGCTCCAGCTTCCATTTCTTGACCTTGAAGTAGGGGCTGGCCCCATCCAAACTGGCATGGCGCCTCAGGCGGGTGAAGAACTGCAGGACTGGGCCTGCCCCAGAGCCTGGGCCTGCCTCCCGGGGCCCCGCAGAGGCCCCCAGCCCACCAGGCTTGGTGCTCCTGGCAGCCGCATCCAGCTGGAAGGGAAGAGGGATGCTCTCAGGCGGCCCCTTCCCCACTGCTCCCCACCTGCTACTCAGCCCAGGCTAAGTACCAAGGGGGGGGGGGGCAGGGAGCTCTTTCCTCCCGCCTGATGCTGCCCAAAGGTTTCCCAGGGGCTCAGCCAGGTGTTGGCCAGCTCTGTCCTTCCCAGCCCCGGACAGAGGGGTCCGAGTAAATGCCTGGGAGTGCTTACCCTGGGGCTTGAACTGGGTCCTGACCACACCCTGCCCAGCTGCCCGAGTGCCTTGTGCACGTGTGAGCATACTCATGTTCGAAATGGCTGTGCATGTCCTGGGTACTACCCACCCCGCAGGGCTCATGCCCATGGGCAGCTTCCCCAGTTCACAGGAGCCCACTTGTGTGCTGTGGCCCATTCAGGGACCAGGCTGGGGCAAGGAGAGCTGTGGAGGTGGGAGGCCACAGGCAGACCTGTCTTGAAACAGGACAGGGAGAGACAAGGGACACATGGGAGCCCTCACCGAGGTGCCTTCCCCGGAGTCACTGGATGAGGAGGAGCTGATCTCGAAGTCAGCAGGGCCCGTGGAAGGGTTGTAGGGGTCACCTGGCAAGGCGGAGCTGGGGCCCACGGAGCGGCCAGTGAGGGCCTTCCCCGGGGGCTGTGGGACAGAGCCGGGTGGAGGAGGAAGCAGTGACAGGTCAAAGAGCACTGGTGGGTGAGGGGGTGTGCTGGGCCCAGCCACCCTCTATGCATCCAGCCAGCCCCACTCCCCATCCTGAGATAAGGGGGTCGGCCCAGAGAGTGGGAAAGGTGCCACCTGCCAGGTGAGGGTAGGGATCCCTCCCACCAAGTCCAAGTCCGGGTACCAACCCCTCCATACTCACCTGGAATATGGCCAGGCTGGCCTTGGGAGGCACTGAGGGGTGAGGCATGGCGGTGGCACTGGCTTCGCTGGAGTCACACTCATGGATGGTGACAATCTTGAGGGGCGGCAGGTGCAGGTGGGTGAGGCGAGCATTCTTCAGGTGGTGGAAGTCCCCTTCTGTCAGGGTATACCTGTGCCAAGTGTATCCACCAATCACAGAGCATCCCGTCCCTGTGCTCGGCCCCACCCCACACAGGCCAGGTATCCCCAGCCCACAATCTGCTGTTCCACAGCCCCATCGTCCACCCTGCTGGGTCTGCGGAGAGCACAGCATGAATGACCACCCAGCTCAGTATTGAGGCTATGCTCCAGCCCTGAGGGTGCTGATCCCCTTACCTTCGGCCCTTGTCCTGCGCCTTCCGGCTCTGCTCAAACAGGGCTGCCTCATTGAAGGACACGCGGCGGCCGGTAGAGCTGGTGGACAGGAAGCGCTCGGTCTCTGCATCCTGGCCCTCGAGGTCCTCCCCCCTCAATTCAGGGTCTGCGAGGAGAGCCAAGAGAGGGTGGGCCCCGGGTGGGCCGCACCTCGTGCCGGCAGACTGTGGGCGGAGGGGGAGGGAGCGAGGGGGCCCAACTGACCACCAGGGATGGACAGGGAGGTGGGCGGGCACTCGTTCATCCGCTCACACACTCACTCACTCAGCACGCGCCTGTGAGCACCTACGCGTGGGCTTTAAGGAAACAGAGATGAGTCGGAATCGAGCTTCGCCCAGTCTGGTGGGGGAGACAGACAGACACAGAAGGTCAGGAGGCCTGAGAGGGAAGGCCGAGGAGTGGACAAGGGGCGGGGCCTGGGCAGGGGTGGGGCCTGGGCAGCACCTCACCTTGGACTGGGTGGGTGCTGGTGTCCAGGTAGGTGGTGGTTGTCTTCTCTGCCTCCTCCGTGGCTCTGGGGCAAGACAACAGGAGAGCAAGGTGGCCAGGGTCCCTGCAGGGCTCATGCTCATGGGCTGCACCCTCAGCTCACCGAGCCCACCTGCTGGGACGTGGTCCCTGCACAGGTATGGTGCACCTGCTCCCCACTAGCCAGCTGTCAGAGGCACCTGCCTGGCCCCAGGACCCCCCAGGCCTCCCAGAAAGCAGCAGGTTGATTGGCACAAACCTGTTGAAGCCCTGGTGGACTTCCCAGCAGCGCCTGCACAGGAGCAACACACCAGACAGCACCACGAGGGTTCCCCCAACAAAGAGCGACATCACCACCACCACCAGCATATAGTTGTCCAAGACGGGGTCAGGCTCCGCCTGTGGGGGAGCAGGGGTCAGGTCCTACCTGGACTCTGGTGGGCCAGGCCTGTCGATCTCTCCTTCCCCACCCCCTCACTCACAGTGGGGCGGCCTGTGGTATTGTCCCACGTCGTGGTCAGGGTGGCCGTGGTGGCGGCGGTGGCAGTCATGGCCATGGTGGCTGTGGGCTGCATTTTGAGGTGAGAAGGTCCCTAGGGGAGGGGCGCTGCTCAGCTCCAGCTCCCAGTACCTGCCCCCTCACTCATCCCAGGGAGTCAGAGCAGCAGCCCACATAGGGCAGTGACTCACAGAGAGGTGGGGGGAACCCCACACGACTCCCGCCCCCTCAGATCAGTGCCCAGCAGGGACCTCCATCTCCCAATCTTTAAGATGAGGTCAACCGCCTCCCCAGCTGGTGGGGCCGGACTGGCAAGGTAGCACTGCTTAGGAGTCCTGTCCAGGAAAGGGCAAGCATCCTGGGAGAATGGAGACACCGAGACTGTCAGCTCCACCTCCTTGTCCACCACCCATAGAGACTATAGGGCCCTGCCTGCCCCGCCAGGAGACTGCAGCTTCCGAAGACTGGCCCCGGGCTGGAGGGACAAGGAGTCCACCATGGGGAGCGGGAAGGAGGAGCTGAGCACGGGTCTCCAGGGTCCTGACTCGGGAGGTAAAGGCCCCCTTCCACGGAGCACTAGTGGGAGTGAAAAGGCCAAAGGCGCATCTGTTCCCAGCCCTGAAGAATTTGGTTCCCATGGCGACTGAGCGAGCAGGCTGAGCTGGGGGGGGAGGGTGGGGGGGGGCCGAGTTTGCCAGGGAGCGGGGGCCGAGTTTTCCAGGGAGCACTGGGGAGGGGAGGGGCGGGGCGTGAGAGGGAGGCCTCCTGCAGGGGCGACTCCTGCGGGCCCTGGGCAGCAAAATGGCTGCTGTGCGCCTCCTCGCGCGCCGGTGCCCAGCCCGAGGTCAGGCTCTTCCGCCGGCAGCCTCTCCCAGCGCAGGCTGGCGAGTCTCCACGCCTGCTTTACGCTTGGGGAAACTGAGGCCGGGGCGGGGCCCGGCCCTCGGGAACCGGGCTGTCCAGACATTGCACCTGACCCTCCTCCTTGCGGAAGGACGGGGACGCGCTCTGGAATCTCAGGGAACAGAGTTCGGGGCCGGATGGCCAGCAGCAGTCGGCTAGGCGCCCGCGCGGTCCCTCCCCAGAGGAATGGGAATGCCTGTGCACAGGCTCCAGCGTCCCCAACACTTTCGGGTTTTGACCCCCCGAGACAGCGGGAGAAACCGAGGCCCGGGGAAGGGGAGGGTGCTGACGGAAGCCAGGTGTCCTCGGCGCTCGGGGTCGGAGTCTGGCCGCGGCTCCCCGGGCTACTTGGGGGTAAGGCGCGCATGAATGTAGGTTGAGAAATGAGTTCAGACGGGAGGGGGAGGGGACAGAGACGCATGGACATGACAAGACGAGGGAAGATGGCAGGAGGCGGAGGAAGAAGAGCGGTGGATTCTCGGGGGTAGGCGGGAACAGGCGCGGCGGGTGGAGGTTCCCCACAGGCCAGACCGTGAGGTCCAGCCGGGCCTCGGCTCCCCGAATCGCCGGCCTCTGCGCCTAACCCCGCGCTCACATCCGGCCCCGGCGGCGGGGATGTCGAGGGAGGACAGGCAGAGCGAGGCTCCAGGTACATCAACCTCGGGCTGAGCCAGGAGGCGGAAGCGCTATCGCCCTCGCCGGATCTCCCAGGGGGAAACTGAGGCCGGGGGAGGGCGCGGGAGAGGGTCCCTCTTCAGGCCGCCCAAGGCGCGGTGCAGAGCTCCGCGGGCTGGCTCCCACGCCCGCCCCGATCCTCCGCTCCCTCCCTCGGGCCTCGCCGGGAAAAGACAGTGGTCCTGAGCCAGGGCGGGCCCTGGAGCCGGCGCGATCCTGGGCTCCGCGGTCACGGCCCGCCTCCCGCCCGCCCGGTGCAGCCCCGGGCCCGCCGCGCCTACCTCAGTCTCGGGGCGCACGGCCCATGGGCGGCGGGCGGGCGGCTTCGCGGCGCTCCCGGCGGGCTCCGGCGCCCGGTGGCCGCGGAGCAGGAGGAGAATTTATGAATGGAGAGCCCGGTGCGCGGGGGAGGCAGGCGAGAGAGGAGGGACCGCTCACGTGACCGCGTTGGCCAGGAGCCCGCTCCCACCCGCTGGGTGCCGCCGGGTCATGGCCGGCAGCCCCCACCGCACCCGCCGCTGGGGTTAGCTCTGTCCGCACTGGCACTGCCTCCTCTACTCTTCCGGGCGCGCGGGCGGGGGGCGGAGCCTGCGCTCCCAGGTTGCCCCCTCCCCAGGCGGAGCCGCCTCTCCCGCGGCCCGCTGATCTCCGCCCCCACGCCCTGCAGCACGACTCCTCGACCCTCCCTGAGTCCCTGAAAGGCGGGGTGGGGGCGTGCTGAGATGCACGACTCCCCACAACCCGGGATACTGGGGTGCAGAGACTCCCCCTCCTTACCTTCCCCCAGTCGGGGGGGGTCCCCCAAGGGACACAGCCCAGGGGTTTCGCTGTCCTCCCTTTGTTTCCGTGTGAGTGCAGCACTGTCAGGGCTCTCCGTGCGCCCTGCCTTGTCGGGACCAACAAAGATCATAGAACACAACCTGTCCTGAGTGCCACCAGGGCCTGCCCAGCGCCAGTGACATCAGAACTACCCTGCAGAACCCCCACACCTGGCAAACCCGAAAGCTGCTCCCCCTTTTCTCTTTCCGAAAAATCATGCCTTCTAGATGCTCAGGCCACCATTCTGTCATCCGCCCTGTCCTGATTCCATCCCAGCCACACCCCATAACGACACCCGTCTCCATGGAAAGCCCACACTGCTCGGTGATGCCCAAGTTCAGCCTCCAGACATTTGCACTCGCAGGTGCAAGACCCCTCTTCCCCAGCTCAGCCGCAAGAAGCCTTCCTCACCCCTTCAACACTTCCCAACAGCAAAGCCTCCATGCCTCTCCTCTTGGCTGTCTGCTAACATAGCAACCACCACTTTACACTCCTGTGCCCTGCTTGCTGCTGGTTGTTTCTCGCTGTGGACCTCTACCTTACTAGCACCTGTGTGTTGTGTCCCTGCTCAACCCTGCCCCCACTACACGATGAGCTCCAAGAGCAGGAGCTCACTCAGGGCTGAGTCCCCAGGGCTGGTACCCAGGAGGGAACAGCTTACTAACTGGATGAAAGGGTGATTCCACTACAGGAGAGCAAGGGGCAGCCAGGTAGATCAATGCCAAGGAAAGCTGGCTCCAGGTGAGTAAGGATGGCATGTGCAAAGGCCCTGAGGTGGAAAAGTGTGTTTGCAGAAGATCCGTATGTTTGAGGAAGCAGGGGAAACCATCTTGTGGTTCCTAGTAGGGGAATAACATGGTCCCTCTGGCTGTGTGTGTGGAGAAGGGCTCAGTGGTAAGGCTAGGGAAGGAGGCTGGGACCATTCAAAAGAGTGAGGGTGGCCACAGGGGCCAAGCTGAGCGGTCGGGCCTTGTCAATGGGTCTATTAGGGTATTCCAGAATAACCCCAGGTTTGGGACCTGAGTTGCAGGTGGTGCCTTTCCCCATGGGCCACGCTGGAATAGGGATTGAAAAAAGTCTTCCAGTGGATGGGTAGGAGCAGCCCATTAGGTAGACGAAGCCTCCCTATGGGGCCTGGGTGTCCAGGAGAGGTAGGGCTACACACATGACGCACCGCACCCCTAGACATGTGAGTAGGGCTTCCCAAAGCACACGTCCCCCACCACCAGAACCCGGAGGGGGGTTTCGGCCTGGATGCTGGGAGGCAGGGGCGCAGCCACAGCGCCAGCCTGAACACTGCTGGAAGCTAGGACTCATGCAACCCCTGAGACTGGGGAGCCTCCGCAGCAGGTGCCTCGGGCCCAGGTGTGACACCCCTGCGTCTTGCATCCCTCAGCTCCACAGCAAAGGCCCTTCGAGCTCAGCCCGGACTCCACGTTTTCCCAGAGCCCAAGGTGGGGGGTAGGAGGCTCGGCCCTGTTCCCCGACCTGCCTGCATGACCGCGGGGGCGGAGCGGTGACGTCAGCGCCGCAAGCGAGGCTGCGCAGGCCGCGGTGACGTCAGCGGAGCCCCCGGCCTACCGCACACGCGCCAGTGCGTCAGCGGCTTGCGGGGGCGACGGTCGGGCGGGGCCGCGACGACAGCATCTCCGGACACGGGGGCGCCGTCTCGTGGCGCTCGCGGGGATTGCAGCCAAGCCGTGCTCGCATCCCTGCCGCTGGCTTGCACTGAACTCTCAGCCTGAGGATGCTGTTTCCGGGATTTCTGCCTCAGTTTCAGCCTGACTCATCACCGCCCCACACAGTCTTTTGCTCCTTTAAAAAAATTATTTGTTTTCTTCTAACGTTGAACGTCTGTAAAACGCCCCCGACCCCCACACCAGAGGTGGAATCGTGGTATTTCTCTAATGTCTCAGCTCCTGGCATTCAATTAGCGCTCCCTAGATCTTGAATTCAACTTAAGTGTCTCCTCCGCGCAGGTTTTGATCCTCCGCATGCCGAACCTTGTAACCGTCGTCTCCCACCCCCGCGACACACACGCACACAGCACATGCACCCCCCCTACCCCACCACACACACACACACACACACACACACACACACACCCTCCCAGCAGTCTGAGAGCTGGGACCGAAACGAAACTACAACCCCCAGCATGCTGCGCACCCAGCGGCGCGTCGTTAACGTCGCGCGGGGCAGCCCGGAATCGTAGTTCGCGCGTGCGCCCTGGCTACTAATCCTTCTCCCAGACGTCACCGCGTCGTCCTCCTCGCCCTCCAGGCTGCCCGCGTTCCGCCCGAGTCTGACCACCGTCCTCTATCTACTGCCGCTGCTATGCTGCCAGCCGCGCTGCTCCGCCGCTCCGGCCTGGGTCGCCTCGTGCGCCAGGCTCGCGCCTACGCCGAGGCTGCGGCCGCCCCAGCCCCCGCCGCGGGCCCGGGACAAATGTCTTTCACCTTCGCCTCTCCCACACAGGTGCGGACGCCATTCCGGACCCCGGGCCCGGCAGGAACCTCCTAACCTCCATTCCGAACCTGATTTCTCCAACCCCCAGGTCGCCGATCCCCATTCGATACCCACAGACCGAGACCCCCAACCTCCAGGTCGCCGACCCCTATTCCGTACCTCGGACTCGTGCCCCTTCACCGTGTGGTCTGGGGTCCTGCCACCTCCAACCTCCCAAACTCCCGGACCTTCCACCTGGAATTCGACACCCAAGGGCCGGACATGCCCATTAAGCCGGGATTGCCCCTTGCTGCAAGCACCTCTCCCGAGATCAGCACCTCCTATGTGCCTTTCCCTGGCAGGCACCTTTTCATATCCTTACAGCATCTCTGCCGAAGGGCTTGGGTGCTAGATTTCGTTCTCACAGATGATGGCACTGAGGCTCTGCCCGAAGAACAGAACCCAAGTCGGCCCCAGCGCTGGCTGCTTCTGTGTCTCCCATTGGCACTCAGCTCTGCCCAGCCCATTTCACTACTTGGGAGACTGAATCCCGGTGGAGTGGGCCTGGCCTGCAGTGACCTATTATTCCTCATGTGTCTTCTCCAGGTCTTCTTCAATGGCGCCAACGTCCGGCAGGTGGATGTGCCCACGCAGACAGGGGCCTTCGGTATCCTGGCAGCCCACGTGCCCACCCTGCAGGTCCTGCGGCCAGGATTGGTTGTTGTCCATGCTGAGGATGGCACCACCTCCAAATACTTCGGTGAGTCCAGCAGGAGGACAGAGGACTGGGCTGAACAGAGCTGCACGTTGCAGCAAGTCAGTCCCCATTTCAGTTGGTATGGTAAGAAAAAGTGCTGTGGGCACTCGGAGGTCACGATAGGAAGAAAGCCAGAAACTTTTTTGCAGCTTCCAGCTTCTTACTGGCTGTGGTTAAGAAGCTTGTAGTGGGTTGGAGGGGGTGACAAATCTGGGAAGAGAAGTAGAATGGTGCTGGGTAGGTGTGCTCTCCCTCCCCGAAGCAGCCCCCATCTTGCCCTTCCCTCTCTTCTTCCTCCACAGGCCTCTCCTAAACGCTAAGAGACCCCACAGAGACTTGCAACCAGGGAGCAATGGGCAGTGGCAGCTTGTCCTGGGCTAACCCACTGTCCCTGTCCCCAAGGCCCCTCTTTTCGCTGACATCTTAGTGAGCCGAAGCAGCCCAGCCTAGCCTCATTTCCCCTCCTAGCCCCTCTCCTGTTGTTTCTTCTATCCTAGGCCCTTCCTTGTTCCATTGTTCCCAGCTTTAATAAATGTTCTCTAAAAATAAAAAAAATGTGCTGGCAAGGGGGCCTGACTTAAGAGGAGGAAATTTGTGCAGAAAGAAACCAGCTCTAAGACCTTCACCAGCATTAGTCTCCAAAGCTACAGCCATCCAGGATTCAAACACAGCCCTCTGTTCACCTGACCCCGCTCAGCTAATGAGCTCATGGGTGAAGGGAAGGGTCTGTCCCCATGACCAGCCACCAGCAGATGCCTCTGTTGGCCCCCTGGTCTCATGTGTTCTCTCCAGGTGCCCATTCCCCACGCTGGATCCCAGGGTTCTTGTGGGGCCACTGTCCTGGGGCTGGTGGTTTCCCCTAAGCCTAGATGTGGCGGTCTCACCCCCTCTCCTCCTGCAGTTAGCAGCGGCTCGGTCACAGTGAACGCTGACTCATCAGTTCAGTTACTGGCTGAAGAGGCTGTGCCGCTGGACATGCTGGATTTGGGGGTAAGTGTCCCAGCAGAAACTGAGGCACGAGCTAAGGGCTTCTGGCTTTGGGGGTGGAAGGGCAGGTGCCAGAACAGGGACCCTGTTTGGACCTCACTAACCACCACCTACTGTAGGCGGCCAAGGCAAACTTGGAGAAGGCACAATCGGAGCTGTCAGGGGCGTCCGACGAGGCCATGAGGGCTGAGATCCAAATCCGAATCGAGGCCAACGAAGCCCTGGTGAAGGCTCTGGAGTAGGCGGTGCGTGCTCCTCGCCAGTGTCAGCGGGGAAACCAAGGCCCAGAGTGGGACAGGGGTTGGAACCAGCTCTCATGGGTCCAGTATGAGGGTGGGGGCAACCCCTCTGGGAGGTAGCCATCCTTGCCAGTGAGGCCACCAGGGGGCAGCAAATTGCTAGCTTCTCCCAGCGCATACCCCCTGGGCCCAGGCCTGGTGGCAGGGGTGAGCTCAGAGACCCTGCTCTGCTCTTGGGGGGACTGTCACCTAGGGGATTGGCCTCCCACCTCCAAAGACCCCACCAACCTGACCTGCTGCCCTCCACTCTCATGCTGTAGAGACCTCTCCTCCCTACTGCCTTCTCTGGACAGCTTGTCCCCAGTGTGCACCCCATTAAAGACCAGGGACCCCACTTGTGTGTGCTGATTTTGTCTCCTGCCTAGGGCAATGGGCTTGGGATACCACACCTCTGTTAGGGAGGGCCTCAGCTTCAAGGATTTGGGGATTGTGGCCTAAAAGGTCCTTGGGAGCCTTGAGGAGTGGGGGAGAACACAGCTAGTGACACCAGGCTAGGTGACGGGCAGGGTTCTGGGGACAGCATGGGTGGAGGGGTGGCTGTGGTTCTTTGGTCAGGACTGGGCTGCTCGTCGAGACACCTAGGGTCCAGTCAGGTTCCAGGTTGTGATTTCCACTCTGGGCTTCCTGGCCCTACTCCCAGGGAGGCCCCGCCTGGTACTGGACCAGCCTGTGGGTGGCCCTGGCTGGATGACTGCCTGACTTCTGTTGGTGTTGGCATCTCTGTGGCACCCCAGGCCCTGGGACAGCCCCAGATGGGGTGGGGTGTCTCGACAGGAGCAGCCCTGGCAGCACACAGCTTCACAGAGCTGTTCCATCTCCTCCATTTTGTAACCCTGGGGATGACCCAGACTTGGGTTCCAGGTGGTAGGCAGAGGACTTCAAGGCAGGGGTCTTTCCCCACCCCCGTCAGCCCTGAGCCCAAGCTGGGCTTGCAGGGTATTCCAGGATGGTGAGTGTTCGGAAGAGCCTGGGCCTCCCTGTGTGTCACAGGGAGGCCACCCTGGGGCATGTCATCAGTATGGATGGGCTGTGCACTAGTGTGTCACAGTCCTATGCAAGTGACTGTCACATGGCTGTGTTCAAGGCTTGACATGGTGAGAGACCCATGTGTGTGGGGCCTTCAGGTGATCTCCTGCGCTGTGTGTGTGTGTACGTATGTGCGTGCGCGCCCCCACATGCTTGGGTCTCCTTTCTCTCAGGCCAGTGAGGCCCAAGCAGCAGTCCCCTGCTTCCCGGGAACTCCCAGCCTAGAGAAGGCTGTGATCGCGGGTGCAGCACCACTCTTCCTTGTCTCCAGCTCAGAGGCAAGGTCTTCAGAGTTCATGGCAAGGTTGGGCACCATAAATAAAACCAAAGAAGGGAGGTTAACGAGGGAGACCATCACCAAGATGCTGCCAGCACCCCCTCTCTGCTTATGTCCTGAGAGACTTCAGCCTCCAGCTGGGGGGCAGCAGGATGCAACTGGGACACCATAGTGCATTCCCCATGGGAGACATGAGACTTGGGGACACACCCTGCCTGACACGGGCCCCGAGGGAACAGCTGGTGCTGGCAGGGTCAAGACCTGGGGCAGAAGGGATCCAGGGTGGGGCAGGTCACAGGGACAGAAACCAGGGGTCCAGACCTCATCCACAGGGCAGGCTTGGGACCTGAGGGGGCAGGAAAGGGGTCCCCTGGTACAACTGTGCTTATATCCTGGGACAATTGCTGAAGTATAGGGATGCTCTAAATGGGAAGGAATCAGAAGCCAGTTGATTAGCATGTTTATTAAGTTAGACCTGCAGAGCAAGGTCAGGGCCTCCACACACACACACACTGCCCCCCATTAAGAGCAAACCTTCATCCCCCAGTGTGGTTTCAGCAAGGTCAGGGACCAGCCTGAGATCACAAAGTTCTGCCTACCCCAGTAGCAACATCCCCACCCCTTGGAGGTCCCACCTAGGCTGTTCTGTTTCCTCTGCCAACTCCTGGCTGGAAGCAGAGCCCCTACGCTGGGCCCCTCTGCCTGTTTCCACAACCTGTAGCCACTGAAGTCTCCAGACCTTTGTAGTAGCCGTTTCCATTTCCTGGAGAACCATGCTGTGTTTGTGGCAAACTGCTATCCATCCCTCAACACCAGCCCCAGTGACTCCTTCCTTCCAGCCAAGTCCTGACTGACCTTGTGGGGTTGGGAGTGCCTGGGAGTGGGAGTGGGGCAGAGGCCATAGGAGCATTGGGTGAGAGTCGGAAGGAACAGCCCTGGGAGGGATGCTGAGGGTAGAGGTGGGGATGGTCGTCCCAGATGAAGAAACCAGAAAAGTGGATAGGGGTTGGGTGAGTAGAACTTGGGGTCCCTTTCTAGGCAGAAGGGTCAGGAGGACCAATAGGGCCCCACCACCAATCAGGGTCATCCTCAGAAAGCCACCAAAATGACATGCCATGCTCCTGCCTGTGTGGTCTATATCCTAGTATGTGAAATGGGAAGGGGGGTTATGCCCAGCCCAAAGGATGGGCAGCAGCCTGTGAACTTGCATTATTGAATGATGACAACATCACTGGGTCTGAGTGAGGGACCCATACCTCAGGCCCCAGGGTGAGTCCTGCAGGATATTCATTCCACCCCATGGCCACCTAGGAAATAGGGGCCAAAACCCTCCCGAGGTCACAGGACGTGTGATGACTGGCTGCACAAGGCAGTCCTGGTGCTGGTTAATCGCTCCATAAATGCCCTCTGAGGTCACTGTTAAGGGATGCGCGGCTGCGGCACCCCCACTCCAGGCAGGTGACTTGGGCCTGTTTTCCTGGACTGTGCTGCTGACTCAGGCTCCCCTTCCCACGCCCCGCCTTCCGCCTTGCAGGCACCCCCAGGCGGAAGCACAGGGTTTGGAGCGGCAGAAAAATGTCAGGGAGTCCGGCTGTGCACCCAGAAACCCAATACCGTGGCCCAAGTGCGGGTGCGACCGAGTCGTCGACTAGGACAACCGTGACCTCGGGTTCGGTGGCATTCCATGAGCGCAGTCATTGACGGGGCAAGTGGCCCAGGCCGGGCGGCACTCCTGGGCTCTGGCCCACTGGGAGGGGCGGGGATGGCCTGCGTCACTGCCCGCCCGGCTCCCTCCCACCACCCCTGCCCGCCCAAACTCCACCCAGGGAAGGCGGCGCGGATAAAGGTTCAGGGCCGCCGGTGCGGCCCCATACCTACCCCGCCACGGCGCACTGGTTCTCGGCCCAGGTACATTAAAGGACTGTGGTGACCTCGGACTGGCCGCGCCCGGTGAGTTGTGGGCGGGATCTCGCGGGCCAAGGAGGGGTTCCCCGCTCTAGGCTTTTAAGGTGCCCCACTTTTCTTTGTTCTTGGGACAGGCAGGGTTTGGGATACCTCCAGTCCTGGGAAGCACCCCTTCCCCCACGGGACGTGGAATGGGTGGAGCGAGGCGCAGCCAGCACCCCCTTCACAGGACCTGGGCCCCTGCCCCACCCCCCTGTCACTCCCCCTCCCCGGAGTGACCTTGAGCTAGTTGCTGTTCCAGCCTGCTTTCCGGTGTGTACGGCCTCAATTTTATGCTTTAGAGGATTCACACTAGCGAGTCTCTCCCCACGCCCGAAGTCGGTCAGCTTTGCCCCTGCCCGGGACATTCTCGCGCCCCCTCCCCAGGACTCTCAGCAGCGCTCCCGGATGGGGGCCGGCAGAGGGCGCGCCAGCGCTGCTGACTCACCGCAGCCCCGAGCAGAGCCGTGCGCGCGGGCCCCACCAGGGACGCCGCGTCACGTCATAGCTCCGGCGGGTGCGACTCAAGAAGCAGGTCCAGCCCGCGAGACTGGGGTGGGACGCGAGGTAGCACCAGGGTCCCCCCGACACCGGCCACGTCACGAGATGCAGGACTCGCCATCAGCTCGTGGAGACCTCACGCCCCAAAGTCGAACCTTCCCGCGAGCCGCCGAACATGGCCCAGCCACGAGGCGCGGGTATTGCCCCTCGCTTCCGCTCGCGGTAGCTTCCCGGACGGACGCGGGAGAGGTCACGCGACATCCTGCCCATCCTGGCGCGGGGACAAAGCCGGCCCTCACGCCACACAGCTCCGGGAAGAGGTCCCGAGTCCTCCCGGGCCGCTCGCCCTTTGTTGTGGGCACCAGGCCTTATGAATGGCCCCCGGCGCGGGCGGGGGCGTGGGGGCCGGCTTCTGCGGCTCCAGCTCCGCCCCCGCCGCGCTCCCCTTGGCCACCGGGGCAGGGGCGGGGCCAGGGGCGGGCCCTGCGGCCACGTGGGGCAGCGCCGCGGCTACAGCCATTGGCCGGTAAGCGCAGCCCACTAGGCCTTCGGCGCGCGCTGATTGGCCGGCGCGGGCCGGCAGAGTAAGTAGTGAATGGGAGGGGGCGGAGGCCCCGCCCCTTAGAACGTTGCTACATTATAACTTTTTTTTCTTGTTACTTTCACCCCCAGATCTTCGGAGCGGCGGCGGCGACTGTTGCTAAGGGAGGTGACGCGCCGAGAAACGCGGCCCGACTTATAGGTAATAAGTTCTGTAAATTTATTGCTGCTATTGATGTGGTTCTTCCTCTTCTCTATCTCCAAACCTTCTGATCCTCCAATATAATATTGGACAGAAAGTGTGAAAGTGAACATACTAAGCTCATTACTGAACTTAGGAAAAAAGCATTCAATCTTCCACTATGGAGAGTGATGTTAACTATGTATTTTTGTAGATCACTTTTCATCAGATTGAGAAAAGATTAAAAAAAGAGAGAGATTATCCTCTTCTGAAGAATTTGGATGCTTGTTTTAAGTTTCTCACTTACTATCTTGAATTTGTATTGTCTTTGACTTGTTTTGTTAGTATAGAACTGTGGAAAGACTCAAGTGTTTCCCAAATCTTCCTAATTTGGCAGGCCTCAATCTCCAAATTCTCTCTCCCTCAGGGGTTTGTTGATGTTGTTTTAAGCTCTGTT